GGTTTATCCTAGCCTAGAATGTAGAGAGGCAGCAAGAAGTGTGGGATAGCTACCCACAGTGTAACGCTGTTGGTCATCATTAATCACCCTACTGGGGATGCACTACATTGAGCTCTTGCGCACAGTGGGGACATGCACCTTTGACTTTACAAAATTGGGTGCTAAAAACTGACCTTAATAAGTTCAGCCTAATCTCGTAGTGTAGGCATGGTCTCAATAAGGGATAAACAGCAAAAGAAATGCGGTGGAGTGTAGAGATGTAAAATTTCAATTAATTGGTTAATCAAATAGTCGATGCAATTTGCTGTTGCTACGCTTCAAAGGGGAAAGCACTGCGGGGAGTCCAGGCCAGCAGGGGACTCAAGCAGTACCCCGCTAGCCCCCCAGCATTTCAAAGCAGTAGTGCTGCATAGAGCCTGGGGTCAGGTGGGGAGTTGCCAGCTGACCCCAGGCTCCACGCAGCACTGCTGCTTTGAAATGCCGGGGGGAGCATGGGGCTAGCGGGGTACTCCCAGCTGGCCCCGGGCTGTATGCAGCGTTTCAAAGTGGCAAACCCTGGGCTCCATGTAGTGCTGAAGCTTTAAGCATCCCCTCCTCTCCTCCCGCCCTCTTGCTGCTGCTTTCTGATAGAGGCAGCAAGGGTGGGGTGTGGGGGGGACCAGCTGACTAGTGCATCGACTATCCGATAAGCAAATGCTTATCGGATATTCGACTAGTCATTCAAATCCCTAATGGAGTGGAAATTGAGGCGAGAAAAGGAGAGGTAGATTGAAGATATGGCTTAAATATGGAATATTTTTTCATTCACACTCCACTTTTTTGAGTTCTTTGTCTGCTGCTGGATCTTCATTTTTCTGCTTTCCCAGTTCATCCTGTTGGTATGGATTGGGGTGATTTCCCGTATTCTGTCTAGCTTTGAACTATGTTGTTTGGGTTCCCATCTCCCTTTGTGTGACTCTAGTATCTGCTTTTCTGCTAATAGTTACCAAGTAGTAATGTGAAACTTATCAATTCTACCACTGCTACTCAGTGTACCCCTGTGAAACTCCCAGTGACATTTTAATTTCACTTTGCCACTGCTTGGAAAGTTATGAAAGTTATGAAGCCCCACTGCAATGGATTTCATTTTGGTTAATTGTTAAAGATTCCTTTATAACCATAAGAGCTAGACAATTTTCTCAAATGAAAATTTCCATTCTGAAGAAATTTCATAGTCTCCTGTTCTCCGCTCTCCCTCTATATGTTTTGGGTTATCATTGGAGAGTGAATAATCCTTTGTCTTTTGTCTTTTAGTTTGGGATTTTTGTTTCTAGCCTCTCATTTGTAAAATCAATTTTTTCAGACTTATTATTTGTTAAGGTATTTTCTATTTACTGATCAGCTTTGGAACTATTTTGTGGTGAGGGGAAATGGTGTTTTGAGCATTTAACAGTAGGAAATATATCTATGCATGAAAAATTTCAGCCTGAAGGTCATGTTTTAAAATGTCAGGAAACTAGAGGTTAGTTTAGAAGAAGTTTTTCAACCTTCAGTATAGCAAGGGTGACTTCTGAATTCTACATAACAAAGTACAGTGAAACCTCTGTTATCTGGCACTCTGTTAACCAGAAAACTTTAACTGGCATTGCCCCCAGCCATAATACTTTCATATCTTCAGGCGCACAGGCCTGGCTTGGTTTACCATGATTGGCTTAAGTTTTTTTTATTTAAAAAGTACTAATCATCTTTAACTCAAAATAGAAATGTGAAACCAACTGCCTCACACTTCAAAACTACCAATATTAAAAACTTGAGTTTTACTATTATTGTCCATTGGTTTTTCCTGGGTTGGTGGGACCTTCAGACAACTGGAATGCCCTAATCCCCAAGTGTGCTGGATAACACAGGTTTTATTGTATTTTATATTGTCTATTCTGATTCCCTATATATAGGAAAACCTAAAACAAGCTGCACATATGTGTGAAGAAACGTTCAGTTCATCAAAATGTTGGAATAATGATGTCTGGTTGCAGATTTAGGATCAAACTGCTTTGCAGGGTTACAGTGTATTTTGCTGGAGTAAATCATAAATGCTATCAACGAGTCTGGTACACAATTGCAGAGATATCATGAAGTTGTTAGAAGAAGAGCTGATGGGGGCATCATGTGTTAACTTATTTTTCTGTTTAACATAGAGTTCTGGCCACTGGTCCCTAGAACGTTTCCTTGAAATTTTGGAATTGATTGGTTAGAGCCTTGACAAGTTACTGCCTTACTGATATATTGCCAAGTGTTTCTCGGTCTGAGGCCTCCTTGCAAGCTTGGCCACCTGCTGGAGGTCTTCAATTTTTGGAAGAGGGTTCTATGGCTACATATTAATGTTGGAGTGGAGATCACAAACTAATCACAAATGTAGCATAATGTGTCATAAGAACATAAAAATGGCCATATGGGGTCAGAACAAAGGTCCGTCTAGCCCAGTACCCTGTCTGCCAACAGGGGGCACAGCCAGGTGTCCCAGAGGGAGTGAATCGAACAGGTGGTGATCAAGCCATCTCTTTCCTGCCATCCATCTCCACCCTCTGGCAAACAGAGGCTAGGGACACCATTCCTTACCCATAATGGCTATTAGCCATTAATGGACTTAACCTCCATGGATTTATCTAGTTCTCTTTTAAGCCTTGACCAAAAAAGTTTCCCCACCCCTGCCATGAATAAAGACAACATTGAAACCTTTTTTGTTAGACATAATATTTTACTTTATTTACAATGAAGCCTGACCAACAAAGCCTCACTAGGAGCCCAGCCCCCATCTGGCTTCAGCATCCTGTCCCTGGCCTCAATCCTGGGGCAGGCCCTGTGATCCAGCCCCCATCTGGCTCAGAAAGGGCTGATGGTGGCCCTCCTGCTGCAGCAAGGGTAGGAGGGGAGGCCACAATCTGATTGCGGCGGATAGAGGGGCGTTGGTGAGCATACCAAATGGGCATAGCCCCCTAATTTTTTTTTTAAATCTGCTTTTGTTTGTTTGTTTTTTTAAATCTTGGATATTGAAAATCAGTCAGTGAGTCTGACTTTCATGTTCTCATGCACTGTCACTGTCTGAAATACTTGGATTACAACTGCTGCAGAGAAGTACTTACAGGCAAAAAAGCTTTCATTTTTTAAATGTGATGGAAACATTCCTATTAATATTAACTCTTTTCTCACAATCTTTGTACTGCCTTCCTTGAGGACTACAATAGTTCTTTATACTTATTTGCCAAATGCACTATATTGTGGGTTTTTTTTTTCAATGTTATGTGTAATGTGAAGGCTGTTGTAGGACTATGGAGCACTACTATGTTCAAAGACTAGAATATAATATACACTAAAAGTACTAAGTAAATGAATTTACATAATCTACTACACACAAATTTTAAATAATTTCATATAGGCTATCTAACTTAACAGCAAAGTTTAACAGTCTCATATTTTGAATTATGCATAAGGAAGACTGTACTTGTTAGAGAGAATATGTAATACAGGGCATCCCCGCTATAAGTCACCCCAGGTATACATCTGTTCCGCACTAATATCATTGATGCTTATAGGAACTGATGCATTAAAAGACCTTCCATTTGTGCAAACTAGGGGTTTTTTTTTTTTTTTTGCATGACTTAAGAGCAGGAAATGGAAGTCAGCTGTGAGAGAAATTCTCCCCTTTAAGTTGTTTTGCTGTAAGTCCAAGTTTTTTGGAACATATCTTTTGCGGATGGCCTGTACATGGCAACTCCTAAAAATATTAAAATAGATATAAAGAGGATAACCTCCATCGGAATTCTGGTACTGATTCTCTGCCTTTTTGGTTTATGGTAGACGGGGCTTGACAAATGGCAGTGAAATCTACTCACCAGTCCCGCACTGCACATGCGCAAGACCTGCATTGTGCATGCGCGTGCCGCCGGTGAATGGGGCAACCGGCTGAAACCTACTTGCCACAGACAAGTAGAAACGGCAATTTGTCAAGCCCTGGTGGTAGATACTTGTACCTGTGAAAAGTGGCTTAAAACACCATCAAATGACAGCTGTAGGAAGACCGCAGAAGCTCATATTTTTTAGGGGCTAGTCTAAACACACAGTTGAAGTGGTTGAGTTAAGCCATATGCAGTTCTGTACATTTAATATGGATTGAATTAGTTGAACTTGCCTTTGTAAAGCTATTGGGGGCAAGAGAAACCTTTGTGTGAGGACATAGTTGCAATTCTTTAGCTAAATTGGTTTAGAATCACAGCTCACATTAAAATGGGTGCAACTTAGGGTGGACCAGACCCTTGTGTTTGTCAAGTGCCTACTACAATGGGTTTGGGGCTTCTAGGTACTATTTGCTCTGTGCAGATAAAAAATAGTTTTTTAACTGAGAGTGTACCTAAACTGAGAATACTACACAAGGTACCAGGTAGTGAAAATGAGGTCATGTAAATCTATAAAGCTGTGACCACATCTGTGTGCAAATCAGAATGTGAAAGGAAAAAATACTGAATGTTACTCATCATGAAACGCATTTAAATTGTATTAAAGTTCAAAGAAAAAGCTGTGCTATTATGAAACACGTTATCTATCAGATAACTAATATTTGTATTGAACTGCTTAGTCACAAAAGGTCAGAGAACTGTGCGTGCAACAATAACTTCAGTTCAGTCCAACAAAACAATTAACATTTGAGTAATTCCATTGAATTCAATGGGACTGTTAAGCACCTGACCGGGGACTTTGTTGTCTCCTGATCTTGAGTAATTAATCATGTAATTAATTATGTAGCTTTAACATTTTCTTAATACAGTTTAAATTGCCACTTTTTGATATGCTTTTTTAAACTATTCATCAAACTTTTAGGTTTGTTTGACGTTAACAGTCATACAAAATTATAATTAATTTGAATTAAGATCTCAAAGGTGGTGGTGGTGGTGGTGGTGGTGGTAGTTTTTTCCATACACATTCAATGCCCAGCTTGAAAATTTGTGTTTTCACTTGTGTTTATGCAGATCCAGTGTCCAACTTGCCAATTTGTCTGGTGTTTTAAGTGCCACTCTCCCTGGCATGAAGGTGTTAACTGTAAAGAATACAAAAAGGGAGACAAGTTGTTGCGTCACTGGGCCAGTGAAATTGAACATGGGCAAAGAAATGCCCAGAAATGTCCAAAGTGCAAGGTAAGCTATCCTCTATTATGACACAACATAAGCTTTCAAAATTTCATTTGAATGATCTAAATAATTAGCCAGACAGAGCCTTCTATTTGTCATCTCAGCAAATTTATAATGGATGTATATTAAGGAGGTGCAGGGCTCTAGCTGCATAAATAAGATTGAGTTTTGAATTTAACAAGAGGTGCTTGTGCTTTATTCTCTGAGTTCAGAATGAAATTTCTCGGAATTTACAAATAAACATGAAGACAAGATTATTCTAAAAATAGATCCTTTAAGAAATGTTGTATCCCTCTAAATCGGGTGGGCAAAAATTTTTGATGGGGGGGGAGGGGCACTCCAAGAATTTGGAAAGTGGTAGAGGGTGGCATATTAATGGAGGAGGTACAGGGTCTGGGATGGAGGTTGGGTGCAGAAGGGAGCTTGGGTAAGGGAGGGAGGTTGGGTGAAGGAGGCAGTTGTCCTGGGGCACTGGACTACGGTGCAGAGGGTTGGATTGTGATCTGGGGTAGGGGATGGGGTGCCGGATCTGGGAGGGGATATGGGTACAGGAGGGGGATAGAGGATTTGGGTATGTGGAGTGGGGGGTAGAGGGTTGGGGAAGGGAGGGGCTGGGGCGCCAGAGTTGGGATTTGGCCAGGAGACTTACTGGCCAGTATCCTGTTCTTGTTAATTCCTTTTGGTAGTGATTTTTTTCCTGTAACAACATAATATTAAATCAAAGCTGCACTAATATCGGGGTGGGAATTCTGGTTGTTCCCAGAATGCGGTATCTATACTTTACTTCACCCTAGAACACCGCAAATAGGCCAAACAATATCAGCTAGATGAACTGGGTTTACAGTTGCTTTGCATTGTGGCTGGATTGTGAAAGAACTTTTCACAATCCTTTACCCTGTCAAATCTCTAAGCACAATTTTGCCCCTTGCCCTCTTAGTATCTTCCTCCCGCCTATCCCCAACATACCAGTGCATTCCCACACAAGATTTCCCCTCTACTTCCTACACACTTTCCTATGGGAAAGTTTTCCCTATCCTAGATCCCTGGTGATTAGGTCAGGTGTTATGAGTGTGCTTTTTTAACACAGAAATATTTAGGGTAAATGGTCTTTTGCTGTTATTTTTCTTAACTGAAAAATGATGACGACAGACTAGTGCATAGAGTCTTTGAAGGAATTTTAAGAACTGCCTACTTTCCCAATGCCAGCCACTGCCTATAGTACAAATAATCAAGAGCTGCCCTTAGTTAGGTATGTCTTCTTTCAAAATCACTACCACTTCCCATTGTTTGTAAATAGGAATGAAAACACAATACCTTAAGGAAAAGTTATGTCTTCTTATGCTGGAAGTAGCAGAAGAGCAATATGAAAATCAGGTGAATGAAAATAGTCACCTGTGCTAAGAAGAGCCTCTGGCCTTGGTCTCATCTGAACTGTAGAAGAAGGTTGCCACTTTCACAGAAGAAATTTAATGAAATTCTCTTAACTGAAAGTTTATTCTACAGCAAACCCTCGTTTTAGACAGTTCTCTGTCAACAAATGAGTTTTTATTGACCTATCTACCAGTTCTCAGGGAAGTGGATTATGAAGTATTGCTGTAGCATTTCATAGACAAGCAAATGTGTGGAAAAGAAACTTTAATAAAACCCTGTCTGCAGTTCAGTGATGTTTAAGAATTGTGTATTTCTGTTGAGCTGTAATCTGTGTGTGAGGAAGTGTGATTGTTGCTTAAACAATTTTTTTCATGGTGTCACAGGATGGATACGGCAGGTCTTCAAAGTTGAATGTTTTGTGTTATCATTTTAAAGTGAAATATTGACACTGTACTCTCTTTACTGTAGGTCGTTCTTGTTAATTCCTTTTGGTAGTGATTTTTTTCCTGTAACAACATAATATTAAATCAAAGCTGCACTAATATCGGGGTGGGAATTCTGGTTGTTCAGCATGCATCTTTGGAGGAGAACAGAGTTCTCTTAGCTTATAGAGTCTGAAAAGTTTGTATCAAAATATTTAAGCAAAATCTAGTCAATGAAGTAATAACAATAACTACTTAAAGAATTAAAATGTTTCTGCTCTTCTCAGTGTTTGTAGTTCAAAGTATCAATAATACTATCATCTAGTCGGATGTATTATTTTTCATCTGTAGATCTCATAGTACAGAAAATGACCTCAGGAAAGTGGAGATGCACCACAAAATAGCACTTGTAACTTTTATGAAAATAAAAATTGTATCTGAAGTAGTGGGATATCTTGAAGCAGATGAATATCCCATATGCATATTGGGAAAGGAGAGGAGAAACAAAGGGAGGAGGAGAATCTGCAGCAAATATGCTCTGTTTGATGAATCTTAACTTGTTCTAGGTCCGGTACCTTCTTTCTTGACATACAGGTTGGACCTCCCTGGTCTGGCACCCTTGAGACCTGAGTGGTCCCGAATGAGGGATTTTGCCAGACAAGGGGAGGTCATGTCTCACTCCCTTGCCATTGGTTCTGCTCCTGGCCTGGCTTCCTGGCTGGCTCCCCACCAGCCCTGATGCTCTGCTATGACAGTCCCTGGTCCCGCTGCTGGGGCTCCTGGCCCTGCCTGCCCTGCTGCAGAAGCTCATTCCTGCCATTGGGGGCCCTTGGCCCCACCACAGATGATCGCTGCTGTGCCAGAGCTCAACTGCCCTACCACTGCTCAGCCAGACTTCTGCAACAAGGGCTTACGGCCACTGGTCCCTCTGCAGCCAGCATAGCTTGGTTCCCACCCCTACAAGGCTCCTGCTTCTGGTCCTCCTCCGGTTGAGAGAGGTTCAACCTGTACTTAATTAAATCAGTTTTCTTGCATATTCTAGTAGGCAGTAATGTTTATTATATAGTAAAATCAACATCAGCCATTAAATCAGGATACTGAAAAAAGTAGTAAAGCTTAAGTGTTAAAAGGAGCAGGGTATTACTGTTTGTTTTAAGCAAACATGATCAAAGTGGTATACGTTGAATCGAGAACATATTATGATTTTATTTTTCAATACAGCTATACGTTTCTGTATTTCCTTTTGGATCTTCTTTTGAATGGCTGTGTTTTTGCTGCTTTGTGTTTTCCACCAACTCCCTTTCCCAGCAAAAAATCCAAATGTTCATGGAAGGTAGGAATAAGAGATCCTCCGGAAAAGGGCTTTATTCTGGAGGATCGCGCCAGTCTAGTTGCTTTTTTCCGGCTTTTCCCCAAGCCGGAAAAAAAGCGGCGGACATGTTTATTTAAATCCCGCGGGGGATATTTAAATCCCCCGCGGATTTCCCTATTCCAAAGTTAGAAATTAGCATGCCTCTTCCGGAGAAGGGGCCAGTCTAGACGTAGCCGATAAGTCTAAGCAGATGCGATAAATTGACTGTCAGCGGATTGATTGCTGTGGTATCAATCCACTGTGTAGTAGAGAGAGGCCTTTTGTTGCCAACATAGTGCCAATAAAGTGTTCCTTAAACAATGTTTTGATTTTTCTGAAGTTTGTGAGGGTTTTAGTGTTATGACAGTGCTCCTTTGGGGGATATATGGGGAGTATTTCTTGTTTTACAACATTTTAAGGTAGGTATCTTAGAGTTTCATATTCTAGAAAGGTACACCGAGCACAAGGCACCATCATGTTGCCACAACTTTAATCCCACCGTAACTTTTTTGTGAGTGAATACCACCTTTAATACATCCGACAGAAACATTTGTTTAGGTGCAGTTGCTGCTTGTAAGATGTACTTACATAAGCAGCCACAAACATGTGTGATCAAAACCCATGGTATGTTATGTTTTGCCTTTAATATTTGTAAAAGATAATTAAAATGGCAGGCTTGAAGTTTCTTTGGATTCTATATTAAATGATTTATGACTAAATAATTTAACTTTTTATTAACTGATCCTGTTTGTTCTGTTTCTGGAGTATCTAGTGCATTGTGACTTTCTGAATAGTTACACCAATATGCTTCTTGGTGTAAAGTTCTAGGTTTATTTCAGGCAGAGATGTCTAGAGCAGTCAACTAGTTTCCTCTTAACATAAGTTTTCAAAAACTCTGAAAATAGTGTGGTTAAACAAAATTCCCCTGCTTTCTTGTTTTACTGTACAGCAGCTACACTTGAAGTGCCATATGTAGAATATGTGAATTTGCTGGGGATTTCAGGAGAAATGTGCCCTCCCCATCCCCCAGCCCACACACTCAGTTCTACCTTTGTTCAACTTTCATGATAGAGATTGCACTACAGGGCTTAAGTGAACTGAGAAATACTATTTTACTTCTACAGTGCTAATATTTATAATAAATATAAAGTGAGCATCATAGACTTTTCAGTTACAGTACAGAATACAATCAATATACAGTAATTGAAAATGTGAAAAACATCCAAAATATGTAAGTGGTATTCTATTAAGAGCATAATTAATCATGATTAATGTTTAGTTGCTTGACAGCCTTAATGTAGATGTTGGTTATTTTATAACTATGTAATAAACAATGTGGTTGTTTAGAGCAGGAGCTTAGGGATCTATTTCAGTCTCTGCCACTGATTCAATGTGACATCCTGGCCAAGTCATTCTCTGTTGCAATTTGCCCATCTCTGAAAAGGGTATAATTATCCACCTTTTATAAAGCATCATTGGATTCTTGGATAAACTTGTTAGGTAGGCCTAATCTGTAATATGAAGAATGTTCTTTGACTGCAGTGGGAGTTGGAGGTGCTTGTTGCCATGTAGGGGCAGGCCAATAATAGATTCTTCAGATTCAAGTTGTCTTGTGTTTGGCTGCTCTCATTTTCCATCTCTGTTAGAGAGGAGGATTACACAAAGAAATTAACAAAGAAATTAAATGTATCGAGCAATTGAAATGTGCTAATTATAGCAAAGTACATTTCTAGGGCTGCACAATCCTCATGGTGTCTATTGTATGTCACAATCTTGCTGTTTAGGATAGAAACATGTAAATGACATCTGATCCGTCACTTTTTTCCCCAACCTTTAGCTGCATAATAATCCATCTCCATTGGAGTATTCTCAAGATGGTGAGGGGAAAATGACCACTGAACCAGAGCTACGTGGGTGCTAAGAGGAAGCCAATATGTGATGAGATCCAGCTTTTAAGCTGACTCTCCATGGATGTTAGTTTTGTGGTACTACCTCCTTGCCACCCACCCTCCCAGAGCCTGTACCTAGAACCCCCTCCTGCATCCCAACAGCCTGCCCCAAGCTCAGCTCGGAGGCGGCAGCAGCACGGTGGGGTGGGGGGGAGGCAACTCTGTGGGAGTCTTGTGTGGTTTCAGGTCTTGTGAGGTGCTTGTGTGGTTTCAGCTTTTAAGACAGCAAGATGGAGGAAGACACAGATAACCACAATAAGATGATGCAGTGACTCAGTTCAAATATGTGAATGGTTCATGTTTTATTGGTTTAGTTGAGTGTGTTTATAGAAGGATATTTAAAGATGTGAGAATGAACCTTCAGGAATAGTTTCCTTAGCCTTGCAGGCAGAGATTTCTTTCAGGATATTCTTTAGTGGTTTTCAGATTTGAGGCCTATTCTAAGGATGCTAAAATGTGTTTATTTAGGTAAATATGTAACTGTTGAAAATCCCAGTGGTTACACATTTACATGCTGGGCTGGGGCAGGCAGCATTTGTAGGCAGCCAGCTTAAAAGCTCTGTGCATGACTCCTGCTTTCCCACTCTTCCCCCTGGGGAATGGGGTAGGGAAGGGAAAAGAGTACTGCATGTAACTGTGAAGGTTAATTGGTGAGCCTAGCTTGATCTGATACAGTCCCTAGGGGCTGGGATCCAGAACTCTAAATGTTTTTTGTTTTGTGAGGTGTTTTTTTTTTTAATAAAAATAAAAATTTGTTAGTCAACTGAACAACATAAAAATTGGGTGGCAGTGTGATGGAAGCATCCTTTATTCTGTTCAGTGAAACATGTTTGACCCTTGACTCTGTAAATGATGCACTTTCAAAGTGATCCAGCAAAAATTCTTTAGCATCCTCTAGCATGCTGGAGAAACTGAGGGTGCCAGTAAATTGAAAATGCTGGTTAACAGGAAGGAAGGGAGGGAGGGAGGGAGGGCTTTGGAGCACAGGTTCTGGGAGGGGTTGTGATGCATGGGATACCAGATGATCAGGCAGGTTCTCACCGTTGGTGGCCCCCACATATGGCTCCACTTCTGATGCTCTTGAACAGTGGTGGGCAGCCTTAGCTGTAAGTGGTTAAAAGTGGTGGTATGAGGGAATATGGCACTAATGATGATTTGCACCACCTACTGCTCTCTGTGGTGATAGTATCACTGAGGATCTCTGAGCTGATACCATGCTGTTGTCTGTCTTTTCAAGAACCCCTCCTAAATGGTAAGAGCTAGGACCGCCAAATTCATAAGCAGTTTCCTCTGATCCTAACTTAAAGCAAGGTCAGGGTTTGGTTGTATCAGGAAAATGGGATGTACCTGGAATGGGATTGCTTTTCATAAAGCCATGCGGGAAAGAGACAGTCACCATACAGGTGAAAGAAGCCGGCTGGCGGTACATCCCTCTTCCATCCGCATCTGGGATTGTCCCAGTCCCGAGCCTCTCACCTTGCAGATACGCTTTAGGGAGGGTGGTGGGGCTGAAAAATGATTCAAGTGAAGCATTTACATTTTTCATTTTATTTAAAAAAAAAAAGGGGGGTGGGGGTGGGGGACCTGAGCAATGCCTGGTGAATCTTCTGAGAGACATGAAATGATCACAAATGATATCAGAGAACTCATAGCAGCGAAGGGGAGGTAGGTGACAGACTTTCTTTTCATTTAAAAAAAAAAAAAGGTGGGAGGGGTTTCAGTGTTCATGTTAGTTATTTCTAAGGCATGCTAGATTTTGTTCAGACATAGGAAGACAATGCCTCCCTTAAATGGCTGATAATCCAAAGAGAGCAGTGGGTAGAGGCAGGAGATCTGAAGTGTAACTTAAAATTCAAGCAAAGATAACACATTTTGTTGTATCTGTGAGTTTTTGCTGTACTTCAGTGGTGCAGGGTGGGGAAGGTAAAGACAGGGCAATGGTGGAGTTGGGTTTCTAGTTGCAATTTGAGTGATATAAAGTTGGATGCTAGACCATTTGAAGAGGTGACCCTAAGTATAAGGGGCAAGAATCAGAGGTGTATATATATATTTGTGGAAGGAGATGAGGACATGTAAAGCACTTTTCAGTGGCTCGTATGTTTCTCTCAATCAGTTGACTCTTCAAAATAAAGAATGTACCAAATCTGATCTTTTACATTTTGTGGTTCCTTGTGTATGAATCAGTGTGCAGGATCTTTGGGCAAACTTCCATAATTTGTACATTGAGATGTCAATGAAGATGGAGAATAGGGGAGTTCAGCAGTTGCAGTAGGGACCAGTATGCTTGGGACCAGGCAAGATTGGTGCTCACTTGCGTTTTCAATATGGAATAGGGTAATGACAGATCAGCAGACAGGGAAAGGTGCCTTTCTAAATTAGGTTTTTTCAGTATTTTTTAAATTGAACCATAGTTGTACTTATTGAATAAAGTATCTGAATAATCACCAAAGCTTTTATTTTAAAACTGCAATAACATTTGGATTATTTGGGGAACTCCATTGAGCTCTTAGCTGGGGTACAAAAAGAATGTTCTCTTTAAAAAAATAAATAAATAAAAGAGGGCATATAAATGGGGAGGTAATCCAACATTAACTTTGTCTGTGGAGCAGCAAAACCATGTATTAATTTCATTGACCAGTTATTGAAGATGATAATGTTACCAGTAGAATGGCTGTGATATGCAAGGTGACTGTTTCTCTGGGAATCACTCGTAGTGACTCTTCATCTGACCTTCGTTCCAGATACAGGCAGTCCCCGACTTACGCGGATCCGACTTACGTCGGATCCGCACTTACGAACGGAGCTTTCTCGCCCCGGAAGTCGGGGCGAGAAAGCTCCGTTCGTAAGCT